TGTGGTTGTGGTTGTGGGTGCGAGTGTGGGGCCAGACAGAAGGAGAGGAGTGACCGAAGGCGCAAGCAGCCAAAGGCCCGAAGGCGACGGCGACGGCGACGGCGACGGCGCGGACGAAGCTGGCAAGGCGGCGTGGTTGCGGAGGGGATGGGCCGAGGGTAGACAAACGAGACGTTGTGCGATGTGCGCCTGTGGCGTGAAGAGGTCGCCGAGCCCGAGGCGCGTGGCCGAGGGCGACTGGAGCAGAAGGCAGCCGGGACCCAGGCAGCGGCCGTGATTGGACGACGCACAAGTGGCGTGATTGGTCGAAACCACCGACTGAGTGGCTGGCTCGTGTCCGGCCGTCCGAGCGGCCAGCGAGGCTGAGCCTGTGGCTGGCGGACCGGCCTGGCCTTGGCCGTGCTGAATGGCGACGGCGACGGCGAGGTCGAGGCAGGCGGGTTGTGGTACGGTCGGGAGCGAGAAGACCAAACGAGCCGTCGACTCGTCGGTACCGTCGCGAAGCGTCGTCTCCTCGCCAGCAGGTCCCGCGACGACTGATCGGGCGGAGGCTGAGGGTGGGAGTGGTCGGCAGAAGATTCCAGTTCTGTCGGGCAGACCGAGCATCGGTTGCAACGGCGAAGTCCGCGTCGGCGTTGGCGTTGGCGTCGACGTCGAGGTCAAGGCCAGCGTGTGTGTGTGTGCGGGCGGAAGCGGCAGAAGAGGGAGGAAAGAGAGCGGGCAAGTGGAAGTGGGCAAAGCGTGAGTGTATGAAAAGGGCTGACAGCGGTGCGGAGCAGAAGCCGCGATTTGGGCAAATGGCGAAAAGACCTGCGCCTCGGCTGACTCATTCGGACAGTTGAGCGCTTCTGATTGGTTGGCCGGTGTCTGGGCGAAATTAAAAGCCTCGTTGTGATTGTGATTTTGAGTGTGATTGTGATTTTGAGTGTGATTATGTCGGCAGTTGAGACTGACGCCTGATTGGTGGAGTGGCAGATGGGCGAGGGTGGCGAGACGAGACGGTGGCAACAGGGGGAGGTGGTGGGTGGGTGGGGCGAGAAGGGAATGTGATGTGGGGTGTGTGAAGAGGAGTTGTGTGTTTTGTTGGAGGGGAGGGAGAAAGGAGGCCTGATTCAAGATGTGTCCGTACACCGGCAACACATGATGAGGCAGGAGGGTGGGCGCGAGGCCCGGGAGACCGGCGTGGAACGGGCCGGCGCCCGGTATGGGCATCAAGTGTGACATGGAGACTGGGATATGGGCATGTGCCGGTGTTGCTGGGTGGGAGAAGAGGCCGGCCGGGTCTGATTGGCGGACGAGCGCGAGGTGGGTGGAGGGGGCGGAGGGGCAGGGCGAGTCGAGGCTTGGTCGAGGCGGAGGGGGGTAGTCGAGTCGGGCGAAAAGCGGCCGGAAATTGCCGAAACTGGCAGGGTTGTGGGGGGCAACACGAGCGATCGCAGGTCTGAGGTGTCGGTGTGTCGGGTTGACGGAATCGCCGAGGCACGCGTTGGCCGAATGGCCCCAACGATGCAGGCGAGAGACGGCGACGGCTTTGGTGTTCGTTTGCGCGAACTCCAAACGCAGTTTTACTCCGTTGGCCGGATCGAAAGAGGCGCCCTAGACGAGAAAAGAGAGATTCACTAACATACAAAGTTGAAGAGCGCCGCCATTTTGGATGGAAGGGAGCCTAGACCGCTAAAATGCTCAGGGGTTGATATGAGATCTATTACAATCACATGAGGATGTCGAAAGCTACTTATATGGAAATAAGTAACTTAGG